TGAATTACCTAAAGTGGAAGTGGGATTTGATCCACCGTATTGTTGAGGGACCTCTGACCAATCCCAAAAGACTGGAGGAAGGAATCAAGGGTTCAAAGTTCATGAAGCGACTTATGGGTTTCTACCGGCCATTCAAGTATAGGTTCTCTATGCTGCCGAACACAAAACCAAATCAACGTTATGTCCGCACTGGTTGTGCGCTGATGCGCACGCTGGTGCAGTTACCCGAGGGCATCAAGTACTTGGCCGAGAACAAGTTCTTAAGGCAGGTTGCAGAGTGCCTTGCGCAGGTTGACCGCATGAGCGGGCTGACATCCTCCTCGCCATTATTCTCGAAAGAACAGATGACCAACACCTTGAGCGGTGGATACTTTGCAATGCTGGGAGTCCTCAGTGGCGACGCCAACGGGCTTGCTATGATGGAGCGTTGGCACATGCTCAACATGTTCTACCATATTATTGAGCTTCGGGATCGAGACGACCTCATACAAACACTGCTCGGTAACATGGACTACGCCAAGGAGAGTCACCTACGAGTCATCCTCTCCAAGGCACTCACCACTGGCTCCAAGGAGATTCGCATATTTGCGACCAGGCTACTTCGAAAATATGCGGTCGGAAACGTTCCCCTTTCCTCACAGTCGGCCACTGGCAATGCGGACTGGGTGGTCAAGCTGCTAGTCACACAGCTATACGACCCTGACGTGTCGGTATGCCAAGTAGCTGTAAAGATTCTCGAAGAGGCATGCAATCAGCGTCATTATCTCGAGTTCGTGGTCAAGTGTCGCCCTTCCCTCGATCACTTGGGCGAAATCGGTGCGCCGTTACTTTTGCGCTTTTTGTCCACCTCAGTTGGATATCATTATCTGGATGGTCTCGACTACATTACACAGGAAATGGATGACTGGTTTCTGGGTCGTAACGACGCATACGTGGGCCTTGTTGAAGCCGCGCTATCGCGTGCCTACGTCGATCAACCGCGTCGGAACAGCTTTGTCCCTGAAGATCTTGTAGATTTACAGGACATCGGACTAGTGCCTCCCCATTTCTATAGAGAACTCGCTCGGACAGCGGAAGGATGCAAACTTCTGGAGCAGTCAGGGCACTTCAATGAGTTTGCGTGGACCATCCGCGACTTTCAGCTGGATGAAGAAGACACAGAGGCTCTTCTCAAAGTGAAAGGTTGCCTTTGGGCCGTTGGTAATGTCGGCTCCATGGAGCTCGGTGCGCCGTTCCTTGAGCCCGATATTGTCCAACACATTGTGAAGATCGCCGAAAGCGCGGAGGTTCTGACGATGAGAGGAACGGCCTTCTTTGTTTTGGGTTTAATCTCGCGCAGTCGACATGGTCTTAAGGTCTTGAGAGATTTCGGATGGGACTCTGCTCTCGACCACAAGGGAAATTCTTTGGGGCTGAGTTTACCGACCGACTTCAACAAGCTCTTCTTGGTATGTTTTTAATAGCGAGTACCTGTGCGCCAGCCATTAACCATCTTACTTTTGCAGGTTGATTTCCCAAGCCATTCCCGGAACCCTGACTCGAAGCGCACGTCTCAGGAGAAATTCAAAGAAGCCGCCATGGACACGGATCCAACCAACCAGAAGATCTTGAAGTTGATAGTCGATATGGGTAATACCGTGTTATCCAAGCGGGCTGCGGCAGACCTCCACAAGTAAGGAACACACCTTGTATAGTAATAACCAAATGCGACGAAAGCTAACGTAGCCCGAATCTACAGTCTCAAGTCGAAACAGCCCGATTGTTTCCACCAGCCTCACCTTTTCCGCAAGACGCTCAGTATCCTGGAAAGCCACCACTTCCGACTGCCTGCACGCCGCTTTGCCTTGGACTTGTTTGACAAGAGTGTCATGCGACGCATAGTGTTAGAAGACGATTCCGATTCAGACTCGGAGGCATCGTCTTCTCAAGTATCAAGCTAGATGGGCACGCCGAGTCTCTCGCTTGTTCGAACAACCTTCCTTTTAACGAACTATCATGCGTCAAGCTAGATCCACAAGCAAGCATCCGATGACCTCACGTTGGAAATCTTCTTTCTTAGCCACATCCCCCTTTAATTTCTGTCTTCCTGGCTATGGCGTTGGATGGTTCCGGTCATGAGCAACGAAAGGATGTTAGCATATCATGTTGTTCTGCTCTATTCTACCCTTGGTTTCCGGCTTTCTTCTTTTTTTTGGCCGTTGATCCGATACCTTTGTCTGCGTTTCTTCTTTATCCACCAATCTTGCATCAGATCGAGAGTTTTGCTTTCACGGGGTTTGTGGGATTTTTTATGCATCGGTGATCATCATTCATTCAATCTTATGAGTGCCCTCTGTTCTCGTTCGTGGGTAACATTGTACTGTATATACTTAAAGCTTATCATTTCCCCTTTTCAAGTCCATGGAATTTTCATCAATTCATTATGTCTGATAGTTTAGCTACATCAAAAGAAAAGATGTCATGACTGGTAGCCAAGACATCGAAGGCGTGTCCCCGAACCTCGGATGACGGCCGGAAGGAGAGAGCTCCCGGAGACCAACCAGCCCAGCTTGTCTCCACCCGTCAGTCACTGTAAGTAAGCCAGCCCAACAAAACATCAATCAATCAATCAATCTAAGCGCCGACCGACCAACCGACCGACCCTGGTCTAGATTCTCTACCTCTTTCCTCTTTATTTGCCTTTTCCTCCTCTCCGATCCCCACTCCTCTAGCATACCGCGAACCTCCATGGAAGATGCCACCATGCCCAGCCCTCCACCACCACCATCACCTCCGCATCCCAGCAATGCAGCAGCAGCAGCAGAAGAAAAACAAAACGGCGATGATCACCACCACACGCTGAACAACAACAACAGCTCATGCGACCCGCGTCTTTCCCTATCAACCTCCGCGCATTCCATCATCCGGCTTATCCAATGCCCGCGCTGCTCGTTACCGCTCCGAACCCCGCTGCGCCTGCCCTGCGGAAACACGATCTGCAAGTCATGTCTACCGCCCATTCGGCAACGGAAGGGGATTACTTATCCGGCGGATGAGGAGCGGAAACAGGGGTTTACGTGCTATTGGGGAGATGGTGCGACGAGCTGCTCGGGGGAACATTGTCTGGGGGATTGTGGGACGGATGTTTTGTTGGGGAGGGTGGTGGATGTGTTTGAGGAGGAGTTGGGGAAGGTGGGTGATAATTATGATGATGGTGCTGGTGCGAGGATGTGTGATGTGAGGTGGGAGAGGGAGGAGAGGTTGAGGAGTGAGGATGAGGTGAAAGGGACAGAGGCAGACATAGGGACAGAAACATGTGTTGCTAAGATTGGGTGTGGGGATTTGTTAGGGGGTGTGTATGGGTTGGTTAAGCAGGGTCGGGTTGGGTTTGGGGATGTGCTGGAGGTGGAAGGTGATACTACAGTCGAGGAGGGACAAGGGCAATTATCCTACGAGAGATTGAAGGAGGCTGTCCGGGGAGAATTGGACTGTCAGGTCTGCTACTCGCTTATATTGGATCCGTTGACGACTTCTTGTGGACATACGTTTTGTCGCGGATGTGTGGCTATGGTTTTGAATCATAGTGATTTGTGTCCGCTGTGTCGGCGCAAGTTGAATATGGCTTCGACAGTGCGGGCTGAGCCCGTAAATAGGAGGATTTCGGACTTGGTGGAAGCTTTGTTTCCTGAGCAGGTTGTGTCGCGTCGCGAGGGTTCTTCTAGTGAGGATGGAGTGGCCGCTACTGGGGATGGAGAACGGACTATTCCCTTGTTCGTGAGCTCGCTTTCGTTCCCGACTATGCCGACTTTCTTGCATATATTTGAACCGCGGTATCGGACTATGATCCATAGGGTCATGCAGACGAGGGATAAGAAATTTGGTATGGTTATGTATAATCGCTCCGGTCGGCTGCAGGAAGGTTTGGGCAGGGCCCAATTCATGCAGTATGGTACGGTGCTGGTGGTGGAGCGGTTCGAGCTACTCCCCGATGGAAGAAGTTTGGTGATCGCATCGGGGGTGTCGCGCTTCAAAGTGATGAGTTTTGAGATGGTGGATGGATATCATGTTGGCAGGATACAGCGCGTGGATGATATTGCGATATCTGAGGAGGAAAGGCTAGAATCTTTGGAAACGTCATCAGGAATGGGGGAATCGCTATCAGCAGCGTCAACACCACCGGAGTCTCTGCCCACGCAGCAGCTTTTTCAGATCGCCTTGGAGTTCATCGACAAAAGCCGTCGCGAAGGAGCAGCATGGCTCCATCCGCGAGTCTTGCTAGCATACGGCGAGGCCCCTACCGATCCGGCTGTGTTTCCCTGGTGGTTCGCCTGCGTTCTGCCTCTCTGGGAAGATGAAAAGTACAAGCTTCTAGCGACGACCAGTGTCCGGGATAGACTGAAGATGGTTGTGCGGTGGGCGAGGAAGTCAGAGTCTCGAGAGTGGTAGGTAGATGATCGGCCCCTTCATCAGGGCTTTGCTTTCATATCCTTCCTGGCTGGCGCTCACATTTTCTCTTGACAAGGTTGGCTCGGCCCCGACCATCATTCGCCTCGGTCTTATGACTAGCCGTCCCTCTCCTCGTCTTCTCCCTCGTGCCAATGGTTCTGAGCCCAGCTTTGACATACCTGGCCCCGTCTGCGGGAGTCTTTACGTCGTTCACGCCATTTTCCATGTCTGTCTCCATCTCATTTGGGTCTCCTCGTCCAGTTGATCCTGATCGCCGGCAGCGGACGCAGAGTCAGGATTCAGGAGGAAGCTACATCCCACAGACTCTCGTTATGGGGATATTCTTGGCTATCTTTGCGACGCAAATGGCGATCAATGTTGTCCAAATTCGGCGAGCCAGACGGCGAGAACCACGCTGATAGATATGCACAGAGGACGACGAGAGAGATGCACGACGAGGAAGAGGGACGCCACTCAATGACGCCAGGTACGGCTAATCCTTGAAGTATCGAAGGCGCTGTTAGTACGCGATAGCGTTCACTGGTCCTTGTACTAGTTGGCGCCCGGCCTAAGACTGCGGCAGCCATAATTCCTCCTCCAGAACGAGGAGTATAAGTATATTCTCGTCCTAGCTGGTGACTGGTTGCCACAGGGACACACTAATCTCGGAAGCTACCCATCGCATCGTATAGGTGGGCTTAATGCCCATCTCGTAGAGTCCGGTGCGACTCCATGCAGGCATGGTATCCTTTCTTTGCTTCTTTATCTTTTCCTTTTCTCCTATGATCGACCGATGACAGAATCAACGGGAACTTACAGCTTTGTGCAGATAGAGGGGTAATAGGAGGGATTGGAAGGTGTCAGGCAACTAACTGTTTGGAATCCCTGCATGTACTTCGAACGAGCACATTGGTGGTGGAAGTGGAAGAACCAAGCCGTAGCTATCTATGCATAAAGTAGGAGCGAAATGCGCCTTGCGTGCGTACCGCAGATGGTGGAGACGGCTAATTGCGAAGCCTGATAAGAGAACAATGTTGCCTAACTGGCAGGGGTAGAGAGCCTCTGAGCTAGTATCCAAGCTCTGACTTGTCCAGCACAATGCAGTGTCGCTGCGCCCGTTTGCCGCTGAGCTGCGCTGGTTGGTGGTTGGTGGCCGTTGGTCGCACAAGCGCTGCACTTGGGATTGGCGACGCCAAAACCACCCAAACGTTGCAAGATGGCGAAGGAACAGATGCAGCTCATGCAATCCTAATCGCCCTTTCCCATGGCGTGCCTCGTCGCTTGCCTGTTCGGGCGCCATTGAAGTCTGGTTCGCCATGCTGGTCCTGATGCGTTGGCTTGCCAGCTCCCCCGGTCGTTTTGCTTCCTTCTCTTCCTCTTCGCCTTTCTTTTCTTCATCTGCAATTGATCCGCTGTTGCATCTTATCTGCAGTCTTCTTCTTTATCACTTTGAAATATCTCCCTACGTATGGAGCGCCCACGGTGAGTGTAATCCAGACTGGATCTATGATGTACTATGTTCGTCAGCAGAGTGAAAGGTGAAGCAGGAAGAGAAGATATCGGAGATTTCAAACCAAGACCCTTGTAGAGAAGAAAGGAAAAGAAAAGAGGAGAATGAGTAAAGAGGGAAGAATAAAAAGTGTCGGGTGATCCATCGTTCTTGCAAAGTGGATGTGGAGCGACTGGGGATTGGAGATATCAACTTTCCCTTTTCTCCTCTTCTCCCCTCTACTTAGTACTTCTCTACTCTTCGTTCCTTCAACCATCTCTTGCGCTGGTCTTAGCTTCTCTTCTGCATATTCCAGGTGAAGACTGCTCAGACTAACAGCTTCTTTTTAGTATCAGCTCAATGTCTACTTCTTCAGGTAAGCTTGGCTTCAATTTGCAGTTGTCAAGCTGCTGGCGGATTGCCTGATCTTCACTAAAATCACCCCAGATTCTCGTTCTATAGCCTCGTCGACCTCATTCACAGGCCATCCGAATAGCTATATGCCTCGAAGGTGAGTGCCCTCATACTCGAGTTCCATTATATACTCACTGAGATATGTGCTCGTCCGACTGACTGGTTTGTAAACAGACCATATGCTGTGAGTCCCCTCAACTGCTCGCTTAGAATCCCATCATGCGAGCTGATCTGACGATTTCACCATGATACAGCAACTTCCGAGCTATAGAAGTACCCCGTCAAACGCAGAAACTGTCACCATCCCCCGCTCGGAATATGATCGTCTGGTGAGTACAATGTGACAGGTCCAAAATGGCCCCTCACTGACCGGTGACACTTCGCAGCTCCAAGATTCGCAACATTTTGGTATGCGACCGCCTCTCATATATCTAATATCTATCTCTGCAGCTGACATTATCACTCCAGCTAAATTAAGAACCTCACTCCTCAATGGAGGGTTGTTCCAGGAAACTCTTGATGTCAGGACACGCCCACTGTTTGGCGTACATCTACTAACCTACATAGGTCTTAATTTACGGGGCTGCTCAGCAGCCTTCTCACCAAACTAGCCGCGAAAATAGCTCTCAGAGCCCAGCGAAATCGCATGCGGCGTTCGAGAACAAGGCTCCTGGCTGTCATGAACACTTGGACGTGAAAGTTCATGACCCTGAAGAATTCGCCATTGGTGAAGATGAGGACGAAGACGAAGACGCTCTCCTGGACACTCATGACAGCGAAGATAAGGACGCCTATGATGAGTCTTCCAGAAGTGCAGGATCGTCTCCTACTCCAAGCGCCCAACGTACCGTGCTAGTTCGGAATCTTCCCGACCGTATCACGCACAGAGACATCGTCGCAGCCATAAAGGGCGGAGCCCTACTGCACATCTACTTACGTGCGCGGGAACACATGGCCAGTGTGTCTTTTGTCGAGGAAGCGGCCGCTCGTGAATTCTTCCGGACTGCGAAGACCTACGGTCTCATTGTTGCTGGGAAGCGCGTAAGTGCCCAATTCGGCAAACGGTAGCACCGCTAATAGCTACTATAGGTGGAAGTGGGTTGGAATGACAGACAGTTCTACCTTCCTCCCTATGTCCGGGCCAAAATTGACAATGGAGCATCGCGCAATCTAATCGTCTACAATGTACAGCCGAACGTCACGGAGTGGGTCATCCGGAAGGATCTGGACCATATCCACAACCTAATCGTGATCTCGGTACAATTCAAGAATGGCAATGCCTACATCTCCACCAATTCAGTGCATAATGCGCTCTTTGCGCGCTCCTGCATGATGTCTCGGTTCACGTACAAGGGCATGAAAATTGGGTTCTATCCGGACGAGTGTTCAGGTACTCCGGGCAAGTACCCCAAGAAAGAACCACAAGCACCGGCAAAGAAAACCGGCTCCGTGCCCAATCGTTTTCAACTTCTGTCCCTGGATGGAGCCGACGATGAGGACGACCATACCAGCCATGACGGACTGGGAAGGATGAACAATGGAATGCGATGGGCTGATAATAGCGTTACCGCCTGAGTTGTCACCTCTCTTCTCTTTTTTTCCTTTGTACTTTCTTTGAAGTGTTGTGCTACCAAATGGTTGAGCAGCACGTTACCTTAGGCGAGACTAGTCACCAAATTTAGGGGAATCGGTACTAGTATGGTGGTGCGTTGCGTGAAGGGGATCTGGCTTAACTAATAGAACGGAATGACTGATCAGGCTGGACGGACGAACATGACAGATAGGCAGCGGCGAGTGGGGTGAGAATGAAACAAGATGGCGGGTGATCTACGAGGGGGATGGCCAGACTGATTGCCAGATGCTATCACTTACTATAGCCAGCGTATATCAGTCATCTAAACGGTTCATCCGTTATGGGAACGTGCGTTTGTATGCTAACTCAACGCACGGACGTCCAATACAACTTTATAGTGACAGGGCTGACGACAAAAAAAGAAATTGGGTGATATTTAAGATAGTCCAGGCTTATACTAAATAACAGCCTAAGACCGGGGCCAGCATTGCACCATAATTTCCAAACACAGCCACTGTAAACAACCCAAACCATCCTCTTTATTTGATTGAATTGTCTGCAGTGGTGGAATGGGACCACCACACCAGATCTCTCTCTTCTTCTCTCCCTCACCCCAATAAGTACAACCGTTAAAACGACAAACAGCAACAACAACACCATCCCGCATGATATCCCGTTTTCTGCCTCATACAAAAAAAACCCTTCATAACCCGGCCATAATCATAAGAGGGGAAACGTTATAGGAAAACTTTTTTTTAAAACCGATCCGAGCCAAGCAAGCAAAAACTCGAACCGTAAAAGGTGGGGGGAAGCATAACAGCCGGGAAAGTAAGGTTTTTGTCCCCCAAATCCATGTTTTGAATTCCTTCCTTTCGAAAACGTACGGAATGGGAAACAAAAAGGAATGAGAACAGAAAAACAGGCAGAGGCGGAGCAAGCTTGTATGTGTGTATATTGTTGATGTAATAATGAAGCCGTTTAACGGTAGGACTTCTGGTAGCGAGCGCGGGCACCACGACCACCGAACTTCTTGGGCTCCGTACGACGGTTGTCGGCGACGAGGAGTGTGCGGTCGTACTGGACAAGAGCCTGCTTCAGCTGGTTCTTGGAGTGCTCATCGACGTACTTCTGGTAGTAGGCGACGATGGACTTGGCGATGGCCTGACGGATGGCGTAAACCTGGGAGGTGTGACCACCACCGGAGACGCGGACACGGATGTCGACACCGGCGAACTTGTCGGCTCCAACGATCAGGAGGGGCTCGTAGACCTATTCCATTTTGGAAAAAAATCCCGTGTTAATTGACCCGTCCCATGGCAATTTCGCATATAATCCCGACAGGTGAGTTATGTACCTTGAAGCGGAGGATCTCAGGCTGGACCAGAGAGAGGGGCTGGCCGTTGACCCGGATCATGCCCTTGCCTTGCTGTAGTTGGAAGAAACGAATCAGTCTTGACGCTCTTGTTCTTCTTCCTTCTGTCGCAGTTTTGGTTCATCTGATATATTGTGATGCGGATGCAGATGTGTCGTTCGAGTTTATTTGCACATGTCTTCTTCCTTTTTTTCCCCTTTAGGTATTCGACTTCCTTCAAATTTGCATATTCGTGTCGTTCAATTATTTTTCGATACTCGATATCGCATCCCTCGCGTTTCCATGCATTCCATGTTCCTTAACCCTTGATGTCGAATAGATACCCAAGCTTCCTTCAACCTTCCAAACCCAAAGTATTGACCAATATCGAACGACACATCGGCATCCGCAAACACGACAAATCCTAGACCAGCAGGGAGGTGACAGATAGACAGCGAATGTTATTCTCATACCTTGCAGTGGGCGACAGCGGTAGCTAAAAATCACATCAACCGTTAGCATCCCATGCTACCTTCAACAAATCATCCAACATCCCGAACCCTCCCAATCTTCAAATTCCACCCAATCCATTTATATATCAAAAACAAGAGGAAAACTCACCCGTCTTCTTCTTGCCGAAGCATTGCACACTCGGGACGGAAGCCATGATGGGGAGGCGGCGAAGTGTGCTGGGTGGTGGGAAGTAAGGTAGACGGTGTCGGGGTCGTGGAGTATTTGTCGTCGATTAACGGAGTCGCGCTGTATTAATTTTCGCTTCGCACAGTCAGGCGGTGCGATTTCTTCTTTGGGGCTTGTGGTTTTGCTGACTGTCCAATTCTTGGTCTCTCGCTTAGTGCGCTGCGCTAGGCCGCTTTGGGACCTTGAGGTAGGGCTTGTCGGGGGAGTTGGATTGAATCACGTGATGTGGAAAGTTCGGACTTCCGGGATAGAGGCAGTGCTCAGGTTGTTGTAGGTATAGATTGAAGTAAGAGGCATATAGCTATAGCTATACGTTTTACGTCAAGATGTCGCAGACTGTTGGAAAGGTATATACCCTTGCTTTCTTATCACCTCGTTCTCAATGGCACATGATTGATCCCTTCTCCCTCCCTCTTTATCTGTCTGTTTATGCTCATTGTCTAACTTTGATATCAATATAATGCTATAGACCCGTCTCGCCTTCTCCCGAACATGGCACTACGTCGACGTCGGCAGTGACCCTCGCAGTCTGGGTAGACTTGCCTCCTCCATTGCCCTCACTCTCATGGGCAAGAACAAGCCCGTCTACGACCCCTCCACCGACTGCGGTGACTATGTCGTCGCCGTCGGATGCCACGACCTCCGCGTCACCGGCAAGAAGCGCTTCCAGAAGAAGTACTACACTCACAACACCCGCCCCGGTAGTCTGCGGAGCATGACTATGGACAAGATGTTTGAGAAATGGGGTGGTGGTGAGGTTCTTCGTCGGGCTGTTCGCGGCATGTTGCCCAAGAACCGCTTGCGGGATAAGCGCTTGGCTAGGCTGAAGAGTGAGTATACCTCTGATATCAATATCAATTGGATATATATATATGTTGTCTCTACCTTGGGGCTAGACTGGTATATGGGGAATCTTGTTTGA